CAGCACCCCCCTTTTTTTTGGTACTGGGGATTAAACTTGGGACCTCGTGCTTGTGAGGCAGGCATGGTGCCACTGAGCTAAATCCCTGGCTGCCTCGTCTCTTGAGACAGGGTCTCACCATGTAGCTCAGGCTGGCTTTGTTCTCACTATGTCACCAAGGCTGCCCTCGGACTCTTGACAACTGGGGTGGGTTAGTTAACGGCCACCTTGGAATTCCCAGCTGAACTGAATCAGCGTGGCTGGGCGTGGAGGACCCACCTGAGGATTGTTACCAATAACAATCTTTTTTTACCACAAAAAGAGAAGTGGAGGGGAAGATCGTGGGCCGTTGATTTTCTAGGAGAAGCTTGCTGGGATGGTTTTCCTGTTGTGAACTGGGCTGTTCTCACCTGAGAAGGAGCTCGGGGTCTCGCTGTTGCTGGGAAGGGCTGCTGTTCTCGTCAGAGGAGCTCTGATTTCACCGTGAGCATCGCCTCCTGGCTCCAATGGGGATCCCTCACCTTGGTGGCACAGATCCTTCCTCTCACTGGTGTAGGTTTTCTGGCTCCCACTGGCCTTTGGGCCTTCTGGGTGCAGATCCTCAATACGGACAAGCATGAGACACTGCCGTGGGCCCCAGGCCACTGGCTGGATTTGTGTGGGATTCTGTTCTGGGATCCAGACCTTGGCTGGATTCTTTAGGCCTCCAGTGCAGAGGACTGTAATTTTTTTTGGTTTTTTGAGACAGGGTCCCTCTATGTAGTTGAGACTGACCTGGAACTCACTGTGTAGCTCAGGCTGGTCTCGAACTCACAGCGATCCTCCTGCCTCAGCCTCCCGAGTGCTGGGATTACAGGTGTGCACCACCATGCCCAGCTTGTAATATTGATGACGCCCAAGGCAGGCTTTGAAGAGTGAACCCCACAACTGGCTGTTTGTAGAAGGGAGTCTGGCCAGAGCTTATATGCCCAAGTCAGAGTAGCTTGCACCCAGATTCCGTTCCCACAACTAAAACCTTCAGACTAGAAGGACAATGTTCTGATTACAACCATGTATTCTGTCTATTCTGCTCCTAATTTGAGAATGCTCCTTCTTGGCCTTTATGAACCTTGTTTACATTAATTTCAATAGAAACCACACGTCGCCTTTACCCCAGTTGATTGCCAATAAAAGTCAGTGCCTGGGACAGGCCAGGCCTTTGTCAGTTGCATCAGCATTAGTCATCCTGGCCCCGCTTTCTCACTCTTAGTTCTGTCTCTTAGTGCATTCTGTTTCTCAGGCCAGCATCACACACTGGGCAGGTGGGGACTGGAACCCGACTACAGGATTTTCCGGGACTCCAGTGTGGTTAATCTCTTGTATATATCTTCTCGGGTAAACATCATAAAATAGTCCCGTAAACTTTGTGTCCTTTATTAGATGTATGCTGTTGCCAAAACCCTGACTACAACAATACCCCTCCTGCCTCAGCCTACCCAGTTCCGGGATCTCCTAAGGCAGTTTCTCAGTCTTCCCAGCTTCCCTTAGCACTCAGTGGCATCAAGCCTGGGGTGCTGTTTTCTGAGGTGAACACAAGGCTGGCTGGAAGCACTAGGACAAGCTTCTGCGGTGGCTGGAGGCCTCTGCCTGCAGAATTCCTCCTCCGAGGCCCTCAGTCTTCTCTGTCAAGGCTTCAGCGGGAGGAACGATGCCCACCGCATCTGCACGGTCACCTGCTTTTGCTCTAAAAGCCTGGGCATCACAACAGACTTTTAGAAAAGGTGCATTATGGGAGGGGTGTAATGCCCGTTATGCTTAGAAGTATTTCTGTCAATGAAGTATTATTATTATTATTATTATTATTATTTTATTATTTTTGTACTGGGGATCGAACTTGGTCCTTGCCCTTGCCAGGCAGGTGGCCAGGTTTACCACTGATTTAAACCCCCAGCCCAATGAAGTGTTAATTTCAACTTTATGAGTTTTATTATTCTAAATAATATGTACTTAACAGGAAAATAAAGTATCAGTAAGATAAAATATTAAATTGTTAATACGTACTGAGTGGTTAGAATACACATCAACATTTTCAACATCAACTGTGTACCTGC